GTCGCAGCCTCGCGTTCTCCGCCTCGAAGTTACTGACCTGCGTCGAGAGCTGCTCTTTGCCGCGATCAGCTGCTGAATATGTTCTGTCATCTGCTCTGGGGTCGCAATTCTCATCGACGGTGGGGGAACTCCCGCTCCTGATCCTCACGCACCTTGTTCCCTATCTGCTTGCACTCCTGCAAGTACACACCGATGGCCCACCACGTTCTCTTCTGGATGGCCCGGCGCAGGATCCACACACTGAAGCGCCGCCAGCACTTCAAAACGTACATCGGGAGCCCCTCGATCGCACCCAGCAGCTCAAAACCCTGGTCTGAGCTGGTTGTGGCGGAGGGCTCCGCTACCATGCAGAGAATATGTCGGGGAATGAACGAACACCTTTTCCTTCTCCCGCCGAAAGGTGCTGGAGCCAAAACAGTTGCAAACAAACTCAAACGATACAAAGCAAACAACATGCTCGCATCTTGAACGCAACACGATAACATTCACAGCTACACATATGCAGCCTGGAAGCCGAATTTGCCAAGCACCCGCCGTGTTTTTTTTCACGACGCGAGGGGGTGTCTCTCTCTCTCTCTGTCGCTCTTGCCCCCTGGGATCATGTCCTCCTTCTCTTCTTTGTTTATCGTTGTTCTTCTCTCTCTCTCTCTCTTTCTCTCCCTCCCTTTCTCTAATTCCTTCTTTCTTCGTTTCTCTATCTCTCCCTCGTTGTCTACCTCTCTCTCTGTCTCCATATCTCTCTCTCTCTCTCCCGCTCTCTCTCTGTCTCTCTGTCTCTCTGTCTCTCTCTTTTTCTCTCTCTCTCTCTCTCTTTGCCTCTCTCTTTCTTGGAATATCTCTCTCTCTCTCTCTCTCTCTTTCTCTTTCTCTTGTTGTCGTTTCTTGGTTTGTTCTGCCTCTCTTTCTCTCTCATGGTCTCTCTCGATCTGTTTCGATCTCTGCCGATCCCACCGTCGCCGTGGGGCCGCGCGAAACTCGAGGCCCCCTGGGTTCAGGGCGTATTCTGGTCCGTCTGGCCGCATGCTGCGGTGACGCTTCCACGACCATCTGCGCACGCAGCGACCGCGGCCAGTACAGCGCAGCGTCGGGAGGCACGTCGTCAGCCACCACCACCACCACCCGTCCACTGATCTTCCCGCCCCCCCTCCCCCGCCAGCCCCATTTCTCGTGCCTCCTCCACCCCGTCTTCCCCCTCCCCCCCCCTTCACTCCTTCTCGCGCTCCGGCTGCGACGCCGGCGACCTCCGCCTCGCCGCTGCGGCTGCGGCGCCAAGTCCACTCCCGCAAGGGCCGCGGCAACGGGGGGGGGGCAAGGAGGTCGCGGACCCTCCCTCGCCGGCCAGAGCTTGGCCAGATCTGCCAGAAGCGGAGGCGGCCCAGGCAGGCAAACCCCCCGGGCAGCCCCGGCCGCGGCCGCCGGCCCGCCGCAGGCCGGCGCGGCGCCCCGCTGCGGCAATCGCGCAGGGCAGCACGCGGCGACGGCCGAGGAATGGGCGGCGGCCCGGGGGTGGCTCCAGGGGACAGCAGGCGCCAGTCGTCCCGCGACAACCTCTGCGACGGGGCGGAGATCGCGCTGGCGCGCGGCAGCGGTCGCGCATCCCCGCGCGACCTTGGCGGCGCGGGAGACGCAGCATGCGTCCTCAAACCGCGATGCTCGATGTCTCTCCCCCGCCTCTCTCCCCCTGCTCTTGGCATCCCTTCTTCCGCATGCATAATCCAATGTGTCGCGCCCCTCGGCGCGTCGGCCGGACGGCCCGGCGTTTCGCCTGCGACTGCTTGGCCACGCATAATCCGATCTGACCCGTGCAATGTACAACGACTACACGGAAGGAGGGGCTGCGGATTTCAAAATGGGGTTCTCGCCGCAGCGCCGCGTTCATTCGGTTTGAAATATCACAATGACTACATGGGCGCAAGGGGTAGTTTTCAACATTGCGTTCTCGCTGCGCCAAGCACGCTCGTCTTGCACGTTTGCAGCAGCTTCAAGAATGGAAGGGGGAGTCTCTCGTGTTCATTGATTTGTTTGTTTCTCTCTCTGTCTCTCGGTCGATTTCTCTCTCACTCTCGCTCTCGCTCTTTTTTTGTCTCTCTCTCTCTCTCTCTGCACAAACACCACCAAGGGGCCCTGTCCCGCATCCTGTCTGTCGCGGGAAGATGAAGCGGAGAGGAGGAGGAATGGGAAAGGACGAATGCGTTCGAAGATCGCGGATCCTGAACTTTGGGCGTTGTTTCTCGTGATCCGAGTTTTTGTCGTGCTATGCTGCGGCCGAGTCGAAGCCCATCGCTCCTGCAGCTGGGACATTTCCCCGCGCTGCTGGCGCGAGATGCGCGCCTTGCACAATTTCTCTCCGTCCTCCACCACCTCCCGGTAAGCGCCGCATTGCGATGCCTCCAGGCAGCCGGCCAAGCGGTCGGCACAACTCTGCAGAGTATTACTGCTGCCCCTGTTGGGGGTGATTATTTCTCATCTCGTTCTTGCAGCCTGGCGTTCTTATCTCCAGCGGTCTGGAAGCCCCGAGTTCCATGAAACTCTGCCGCTGTCTCGTCGAGAACCTTCGCGGCGCTGTCTCTGCGCGCGCGGCACCCAGAGCCTTCGCTCGAGCGTCTGGCGCGAATGCTCTTTGCACTTTTTGCTTTTCCAGCACCATCCCCTGCACTGCCCCTAAGAGGCCCGCATAATTCAAACACCCGGAACATCTGTTTTGCCTTCTCGCCTTTTCGCATTCGATGGGCTTCTGAAGCCTCCAGATGGCCCCAAGAGAGCACAACATATCCTCAATTTCCAAGAGCCACCCAAACGGCCCCAAGAGCGCCCACGATCGGCCCCAGAGCTCCGCAAGAGGTCCATAAGAAGCGACTGTGACGGCCCCAGATGGGGAAAGCAAATCGAGGGCCACCCCCTTTTGACCAATGGCCTCCAAGATGGCCCCAGGAGGCCCTCCAGGGCTCCAAAGGCGACCGCAAGAGAGAGAGCCCCAAGAGAGAGGGCCCCAAGATCCCGCAAAAAGAGCCCTAAGAGGATCCCCGAAAAAAACAGGAGGGCCCCAAGAGGGCCCGAAGTGAGCCCACAGATGACCCCAAGAGGGCATCAAGAAGACACCCAGATGGTGCGTCCTCGTCCTCCTCATCATTGTCCTCCTCGTCCTCGCCTCCTCCTCTCCTCCTCCACGTCCTCCTCGTCATCCTTTTCGTCCTCATCCTCTTCCTCGTCCTGCTCCTCATCCTCGTCCTCCTCCACGTCCTCCTCGTCATCCTTTTCGTCCTCATCCTCTTCCTCGTCCTGCTCCGCATCCTCGTCTTCGCCCTCCTCTTCGAACTTGCCCTTGTCGTCCTCGTCCTTGTCCTCATCTTCCTCGTGTTCCTCCTTCTCCTCCTCCTCCTCCTGTTCCTCCTCCTCCTCTTCGTCCTCTCGCCGTCGTCGACACCCTCCTCCTCCTCATACCCCTCCTCCTCTCCCGCATCCTCAATTCTCCATTGTTGGCCGCTTCGTTTCACTATAAAGCTGTCTCTTCCTCCCGTTCCCCGTCAGCTAGCACAGGCAACGCTTCTGAATGGGCTGGTGAGGGCACGCGAGGCGTGAATAATACTTCCTGACCGCGACAACCAACACACGTGCAATCCCGAACTCGTGTTTCGGCAAAACCTGCGTTCGTGCATCGTTCTCGCCGCCTTCGCGTGCGCAGAACGTTTTTTGGTTGTCCATTGCAAAGGTCGACGAGGAGCTAGCCTTCCAGAGGACGAGCTCGGCGGCAAATCACTGAGCCACGAAACCACTAAAATAGTAGGCCGCTAAACTTCCGCGGAATTCTATCCGAGGGACGACCAAGCAACCATGTTTGTTTGGTCGGGCACTCTGGGCGTGCAGGTTGCAGGCAACGCGCCGCGTGCTGAAATGGTCTCTGGGGCAGCGGAACGCTTGAATTGCAACGATGTGCGTTGGAGTCGCTGTCTGCGCATCAATACTGGCTGGTTGCAAATTCGTATCTCGGGAAATATTGCGAGCACAGCTATGACTTATGAAAGTTCAGGCCCGACGCGTAAAAAACAACATGTTCGATGCAGAGTTGAGGGGTGTGACCGGAAGAAAGAACTACAACATATGAAATGATACCGGGGAGAAACACCAATCATAATATGTTCCGGGGCTGTGAGGCTATGGGGCTATAGGTCCAGAGGGCTATAGGGCTATTGGGCTGCTGGGCTATGGGGCTAATGCTGGGCTATGGGGCTAAGGCTATAGGGCTATAGGGCTATAGGGCTATAGGCTTATTCGGCTATAAGGCTATAGGGTTATAGGGCTATAGGGCTATTGGGCCAAAGGGCTAGAGGGCTATAAGGCTATAGGGCTACAGGGCTATAGGGCTGTAGGGCTACTGAACCATTGGGCTGCAGGGCTATAGGGCTACAAGGCTATGGGGCACCCGGGCACCCGGGCGGGCAGCCGAAATCGGCGACGCAACTCCAAGGCACCCGAGCACCCGGGCACCCGGGTGGGCCGCCCAAATCGGCGGCGCAGCTAACCTAACCATATGAATCCGATAGGACCCCTGCAGAGGCAAGCTCTGATTGAAGATAATACCTAATCTCCCACTGCTTAGTGGGCCCCGGAAGACGCAGGGCCGTTTCTTCACCGCTTCCGAAAAAAAACTTATTGAACATGGAAGCGGTGAAGAAACGGCGATCGGAAACGGCAATGGAAACGATAAAGGCACGGCAACGGAAACGGCATTCAACGAAGACGGAAACGACAAAAAAACGGCGACCGGAACCGACAAAGAAACTGCAAGTGGCTGTATAGTTTCGAAGGCACGGACTCCTGTACGGAAATAGACATGGGGAAAAAACGGAAGCCGGAAACGGCAAACAAACATGTGTCGGATGCCAGCCAGAAACGGCGACATAGACGACAAAAAAACGGTGACGGAAACGGCAGACAAACGGCGCCAGAAACGGCACAACAAACAGAACAAACGGAACCATAAAAAACGGCCCTGTCGTTTCCTGGGCCACTGAATCCCACTGCTCGTCAAGTCGCAGAGGTTGCCAAACTTCTGGCAGCTGCTCCGCTGAACACAGAAATCAACATAAGCAGGGATGCGAACATCAGCGGGCATGCTGAGTTAGTATTGCTGCTGGTTGGTATCGCTAGAGCTTGGACACTAGAGCCAACTAACAGTATGATGGGCGACAACGAAGGATGTTAACATCACGAACACTGTTCGCTGACCCAAAAAGGTGAAACCCGACCGCCGTGTTGAATCAAAAAGCATGAGCAACATAGCATGGGTGATGAACACACATGCGGAAAATCACGTATTACCAATAACTACAACACATGAACCAGCACAGTGACTTGGCCAGGACACATGGGAGCCACATGCTTACCAACAAATCAAAACGACTACGTCAAACTTGATGTTGGCGTGTCGCATTACTCGAATCAACCATGACACGAACAAACTTCACAGAGCTGCGAACATGAACGTGTTTACGAAAAACTACACCCATTCCAACTGATCCGGGCAAGCCATACATGCGAAAGCCATGCAATATATAATACACTCATGTGCTACATGAAAAATATCGACAACAACAAAACCTCGTAAAGGTCACAGCCCAATAGGGTGGTCAGACATAGTAAAGTCAGTCGACCTGTTAAGCTGCCAAATGATGAGAATATGGGACTTGTGATACAGGGTGCACTGGCATTTCCAGAACGAGTTCCAATGTAGCCAACACAAGGTGTCACTGGCAAAAAAGAGTTGCACCCACTTGTACGGATGACTGTAGAAAACAGGATGGAATCAACGCAACGTGCACAAATGGTTGGGCGAATTGCGCAATTTGTCATCCCATGAGATGTAGTGGATATGAGGAACGCGGCGACAATGAGAAAGAGGAGGAGGAGGCCGAGGAGGGATGCAGGGAAGCAAAAGGGAGACTAAGAGATACTGAGAAGCGGGGGGGCGTGGTGAGGAGGGGGTGATAAAGAGCGGGTTGGCGGGATGGGGAGGCGATGCAAGTCCGACTGTTTCAACAATCCGCTGCTGATGTTGTTTGCCCCCCTCACTAGCTTCCCAATACACCTGGGTGAGGGGCTTGCCTCTGTCAGTCGTTCTACCTCTCTTACCGAGCAGGTAGGCTCCGGGGCGCGCCTGCTACACAGATCCTCTGTTGGAAAAGCGCTTACCCACAACCTACTCCTCTTAACAACGGACCGTTGAAGCGCAAGCGTGTCCCGTTCAGCTGCTTCAACTCGCCGAACGCGATGAAGAACTGGCACGTGTTGGAGTTCTTCCCTGTGTTGGACATGGAAACCACCTTGGCCCCACGAGATGACACAATGGCACTGCGCAGTTTGTGCGAACGTAACCAGGCTCACGAATGTGTGAATGTGTGGCGCCTCTTCGTCCTGAAACATGCCAACATGTATTACACTATCGAGTGGCCGCCTGTGTGTACGCTGGACGCTCTTCAATTCCAGCTCTTTCCGCCTTTTCATCGGGAGCTGGCCTGCGGCGACGGTGCGATGGCGCAGGGTGCACCAGTCGGCGGGGGAACCGGCGAAGGCGTCCATCCCGAATAACCGTTCCGCCCACCCGTGCGCCATTCTCTGGGGGCTAAGTCAAACTCGTTTTTCGGTCTGCTCCTTTTTGGGCATTGCTGCATCCAGGACGGATGCATCGGCCAGGAGCAGAATGGTCAGAGACGTACTGCATGTCGGGCCTCGAAGTCCAACATCGCGTGGACTGACTACAGTCAGGAACTTTTGCGTAGCGTGTCGCCCCGGCAGCCCCAGCGACACGCTATGCCTTGCGAATGGATACTGTAGCGTGTCGCTCCATTCCGCGGGGCGGGAGGCTGGGAAAGGCTGGAGACGCTGACTCTTGGGGACCCAGAAATGGATAGCGTGTCGCACCGCAGCGCGGTGGGCCAGAATTGGCGGCGCGACACGCTAAGCCAAGCCAAAATTCCCGACCGTAGGGGCGAATGAGACGCAGGCGCTGCCCAACCGCTGGCATTCTCTTGTTTCAGCCGGGTCTGTGGAGGCCTCCACAGACCTCTTTGGATGCATGCTGCCTGCGGCTGAGCAGTCGCGGGCTGCCCCGCCCTGGATCTCACGCAGACTGGGCTCCTGTTTCAGCGTCCCACCCTTCCTGCTCCTCCTCCTCCTCCTCCTCTTGCTCATCCTTTTCCTGCTCCTCCTTCTCCTCCTTCTCCTCCTGCTGAACTTCCCCCTTCCTCCTCTTACTACTTCTCGTCGCCTTCGTCGTCGTCATCCTCCTCCACCTCTTGCACCTCCTCCTCCTCCTTACCATTCCTCTCCTCCCTTTCCGCCCCTCGCCTCTCCAGGCCGCACAATCAGCAAACGATTAAAGCTTCAGCTTGAGCAAAACGCCTTCACTCCGTCCCCCGTCCCCTTCTTATTTTCCCTTCTCCTGCCTCTCTCCCTCCCCGCCTCATCCCTCACAAACCATCCCACAGCATGTGATGCAAAAACAACCGATCTGCCCTTTCCTTCCTCGCCGCCGGCTTATACATCACAACGCCTACCTGCGACCGTCGAGAATTTTAGTCCTGCGCGGGAGCCAAATTCATCCGCCACTGTGCCCCCCCTGGCTCGTTGATAGAAGAAGAAGAAACTTCATAGACATAAGCTTCCAGGGGTCCGCGCGTACCTTCGATAACTTGTATCCATGCAGTGGCGGCCCAGAAAGGCTGCCAAGATGGCCCAACATTATCTCGAAAGGCAGCCGAGGGCAACTAAGAAGCGCCCAGTAGGTCCCAAGAGGCATACACCAGGCCCCAGGCATTCCCAAGATGCTCTCCACGACGCAGTCGAGAAGCCAAACAATTGATCTTCCAAATGTTGCTCAATGTTTTTCGCTGTTCACGCTCTTCGGTCGAAGATCGGTCCACTCGTGGTCTTCGAGGGCCCGAGGGCCCGTAGTAGGTCCAGGATGGCCCCAATAGAGCTCCAAGCTAGCCCAAGAACGCCACCAACAAAAACCGTCCAAACGGCCAAGAGAGCCCCAAGACGACTGCGAAGGGCCCCAATACTGCCCAAGAAGGCCTTCATAGGGCTCGAGAGGACCCCAAGGACCCCAAAACGGGAGACGAGAGCGGTGCCACGCGTGTGACGGCCTACCAGGCGAGGCTCGCAGGGTGGCCGCCACGCCGAGCGCTTCGCTCGCGCGGTGGTGGGTTGTCCGGAGGCGCCTGGCCAGGAATCGGACACCCCAGCCACCCTGCGCACGAGAACCAAACACAATCCGATGATGCTTCCTCAGTCTCACTCGCTTCCCCGGAGGTCTACGGGAGCCTCTTGGAGCCCCAAGAAGTCCCTAGAACCCCCTGGAGGCGTCTGCAGGATGCCGCGGGCCCAAGCGAAACCCCAAGCGACCCAAACTCGAATCCTCACTCCGCCACATACGCTGCTCGCACGAAGGGGTGTCTTGTTGGGGCTTGCGATTCCTTGGCTGGACTGTCAGGACTTTCACCCGATGTCCGCCCCTGCGCCCATGGGCCTCGCCAGGTGCCCGCCAGTGGGCGCCCCATGCGCTGGCTGGTGCGGGATTTCGCAGGGTGACCGCCCGTGCGCGGCCGGCGTGCTGCCTGGCGTGTTCGAGTGCGCACGTGGAACGCACCAGATCCATGTCTGAAACGGAATTCGGAACATTCCCCCTCCCGAGGCGGGACTCATCCGTACCCCCATCAGACTGGTGAGAAGTCACCTTTCGAAGTTCCTGTGCGTTTTTTTGTTCAAACGTATCGTTTCAGCCGTGGCACGGCTGAAACGATACGTTTGAACGTGGCACGGCTGCCGTGCGGCGGCGATGAGTGCCATCGAGCAGGCCCCGCCGGTCAAGTTCTAGATCCGCGTGGACCTGGCGGGCGGGGAGCCGCGGGCTCCTGAATGGTGCGGTGGGCTCCCCACCGTTGGCTTCGCAAGATGGGCCGAACGTGCAACTCTCGTTCAGGACCTCCTACAGAAGAGCAGCCTCCAGAGCGGGATCTAAACATGTTTCCTGATGTGTGTTCCCTCCAATGTCCTTTGCGTTCCCTGATCGATCCAGCGAAGACATACTGGTATCGCCTGAGACATCCTCACCCACGCGCTGTTACCAGCTCGGGTTCCCTAGAGGCTTCCGAAGGCCCCTGCGGTCTCACTCGATTCCAGACGCGACTTCTCGCGGAACTTGCGTCAAACAGTATTGATTGCTGTGCTGGGTATCCTCGCAGACATGAGGGTCCGTGACACTTGCACTGCGTGCTGCGTGCTTGGAGGGACTCGGTAGGTCCCCCCAGGGCTTACCATGACGCGCACTACCGCCGTCTTCGCGGCCACATCCGTATCCATATCGGCTCCGAGCACGCACGCGCCACTGAAATTCGCTCGGAACCAATGGCGCGCTCGAGCCAAACCAGCGCCTGCCCAAGTCGCAATAGCAGCAAATCCGCCGGCCCCCTTGTGGGGCCACCAGGCTGTAGGCGCGTGATTCGCAGTTTCCTGTACCAGTTGTAGTTTCTAGTTTCCAGTGTTACAGTTCTGCTTCTTGCTGGTTACTGTAACTAGTTGACTTCTTGCTGGTTACTGTAATTAATTGATTGACCGCGCGAGGGGGGGGGGAAGCCCAAACAGGAACCCCCAGCACCCCCTGGGCGCGTTGTCTGAATTGCTGGGGGGGCTCGAAATCGACACCCCTCACGCAGATCCGCGGGGTCAGGGTCCAAAAACACAGGGGATTTGCCACATTTCTGAAATTCGGTGCCACCCCTCACGCAGATCCGCGGGGTCAGGGTCCAAAAACACAGGGGATTTGCCACATTTCTGAAATTCGGTGCCACCCCTCACGCAGATCCGCGGGGTCAGGGTCCAAAAACACAAGGGATTTGCCACATTTCTGAAATTCGGTGCCACCCCTCACGCAGATCCGCGGGGTCAGGGTCCAAAAACACAAGAGATTTGCCACATTTCTGAAATTCGGTGCCACCCCTCACGCAGATCCGCGGGGTCAGGGTCCAAAAACACAGGGGATTTGCCACATTTCTGAAATTCGTACCCATCACGCACATCCATCGCAAGGCGTGGTAACCCAAACTGCGAGAACTCCCTCGGCCCTTTCATCGCAAGGTGTGGTAACCAAGCCCTTAAACCATACACGTCTTACCAATCGCCAGGTGTGGTAACCCCTCTTGTGATCAGTTGGTTTTGCTGATTGCGACTCGGCTTCGCATGAAGTTTCGATACTGCTTCACGACAGCGCCAAGGCCTCATGACTTAGCTCTTCCATGGCCCATTCTCCGAGAGAGGGGGCCGGCGGCAGGGGGCGAAGCCCTTACGGATCAACTGTTCCCAATGAAAGACGCATCAGGGTGTCGGATGCCCTGCTGGCGCACACCTTCTCATCGTCCTCACCAGCACAATCGTTGTCAGCAAGATCAGCGTCATCATTGCCATCGTCATCGTCAGCATCATCACAATCGTCGGGATCATCGCCGCCAACGTCACCGTCGTCATCGTCGTTGATGGCGCCCTCGTCGAAATTGGGCGCCTGGGCATTTTTTCAGCGTCATATCATCATCGTCATCATCAGCCTACTCCTCATCATCGTCATCATCATCATCATCATCATCATCATCATCATCGTCATCATCATCATCATCATCATCATCGTCATCAGCGTCGTCAGCATTATCTTCCTCAGCATCCTCCTCATGAGCAACATCAATGCCTTGACCACCATCATCAGCATATCATCAACATCATCAGCATAAGCATAACAATCATCAGCTTCATCATCACCATCATCTCCACCTCCATCTCGATCTCCATCCTCATCCTCATCCGCATCCTCATCAACGTCATCAATATCATCATCATCAACACCAACACCACCGCCATCGTCATTAACAACGTCATCCTTGCCAACGTCAAACATCACCAACAGCAGCTTCATCACAATTACTATCGCCGTCGTCGACATCATATCGACCCCATCTCCACTATACTCGCCAACGGCATCAGCGTCATCACAATTGTCATTTCCATCGCCATTGACGTCGCGGTCGTCACTATCGCCACCACTATCTCGTGACCTGCAAGGCGGACTTGTCTGCGCGAATAAATTTCACGCGCCCGTGCTCTCGTTGAGATTGTGGCCATTTGAGCTTTGCCAGCATCTTGCGGGTGGGAGGGTGGGATGGTTGCACGAGCAGCGGAGTTGACGACTAAAAACTTGCAACATTTAGTTGCGCCACCAAGACTGTTCCACCTAGCGTGCACGAGTAGCTTGCGCATCAGATGCTGTATCCTTGGCATTGCACAAGCTAGATTGCATTCGGGAATGGACTCATCACAAACATAGTGTAAGAAATCCCTATGTGGGGTCAAGGCTGGCGAACAGGTTTGCCAGCGTGGACCCAACCCGACAAGTACTTGCTCTGTGGATATGCAATGTGCGTGGTGCAAACTAAGATGTGTACTCTCTGTGATGCGACTTTTGCGGGGAGAACGATGTGATGTGATATATGTGGTGCAAACAATGTGGTGTAATGCGTGCCAGAATCGTGCACGTGCGGTGCGAGCGATGTGGTGCAAACCGAGTGGTGTAAGCTATTCTGTGCAATCTAT